TTACATACATGTTTTCATGTAAATTATTTCCTTTACTTTCTATCCTTCTGAGGAAACATTGGCCAGCCTTCTTTACTTATAATTGTCCTTTTAGGTTCTTTAGATTTGAGTATTTCCTACCAGTTTTCTCCTTGGCTTATTCACTGCTTCTCTTCCTCTAGGCTCCTTACAATTAATTGTTTTTTTCAGGCTTTTCTCTTTCTGTTTTGTCTCCATACCAAGAGAGCCTCTTCCATTTTCACAGCCTCATTGTATTCTATGTGTACTTGATAATTGAATTTTTTAATTCTAGTAACGGCTTCTGCTAGGTGCTTCAGTTCCACTGAATAGGATGCTATTCATGTTCCAAAATTCAACATTTTCAAAATTGTGTTCATTCTCCTGAGACCCCTAAGACTCTCCTAATCTTCAGGATTACGTTTTTTGGTAATAACATCAACATTTATTCAAAATAGAATAAATAGTCTTCCAAAATAGAAACTTCAGCATCATCTTTGCTTCCTACCTCTCCTATTCCCACGTTAAACTGGTCATCTTCCTTCCTTTTCATTTCTACCAGTATTGCACTGGTTTAGTTTCATGTGTATGTACTTCTGTATATACAGTTGGTATTCATTATTGGGATTCCATATTTGCAAATTTGCCTTCTCATTAAAATTTATTTGTAACCCCAAAGTCAATATCTGTGACACTTTCACAGGGATTCATAGATATTCACAGTGTTGAAAAATTGGAGAGCCTCCATGTGCACATTTCCAGGTACTGCTCTGCATCTAGAAATAACATGCTGCTCTGCCTTCTTGTTCAGCTTTCATACTGTAAACAAGTATCCTTTTGCAATCTATTTAGTGCCAGGCTTTTTACATTTGTGTGTTTTTGTTGATGGTTTCTTTTTTTTGAGACAGAGTTTTGCTTTTGTTGCCCAGGCTGGAGTGCAATGGCACGATCTTGGCTCACTGCAACCTCCGCCTCCTGGATTCAAGTGATTCTCCTGCCTCACCCTCCTGAGTAGCTGGTATTACAAGCGTACGGCACCATGCCTGACTAATTTTATATTTTTAGTAGAGATGGGGTTTCTCCATTTTTGTTAGGCTGGTCTCAAAGTTTCAAACTCAGATGATCTGCCTCCCAAAGTGTTGGGATTATAGGCATGAGCCACTGTGCCCGGCCAATGGTTTTATTATTTAAAATGGTTTCCGACTGTAGTGTTAAAGTACTGTCTAGTGTTCATAAGCACAAGAAGAATGCGATGTGCCTTATGGAAAAAAATATATGTATTAAATAAGCTTCCTTCAGGCATGAGACATAATAGTGTTGCCATGAGTTTGGCATTAATGTATTAACAATATGTATTAAATGAAGCATCTTTAAACAGAAGCATGGATGAAATAAGATTATGTAGCAATTTGTTGATGAAAATATTGTGATCAAAGGCTTGTAGGAACCTAAGCCTGTATTTCTCCTAGGAACAGTGTTTCAGTATTCACTTAACAAGTGTTTATAGTAATTTTATAGAACATATCCATCATAAATAATGAAAATCAACTGTAATGTATGTGTATATATATATCATATATAATATGGTCAGATAATATTATAATGAATCATATGATTATATACATGTGTAAATATATATACACATATATACAAAAAAAGCTGTCTAGTGTTCCTAAGTGCAAGAAGAACGTGATGTGCCCTATGGAAAAAAATATGTGTGTTAAATAAGCTTCCTTCAGGCATGGGGCATAGTACTGATGTCTCATGTACATCATGTATATGAGATATATATTTTTTTGTAACCAACCTCTTAATTGGTTTTCTTTCAATGCATTCTCAGTATTGCCAAAATAATTATCTTTTTAACGCAGAATCGAATATGTTACAACTTCTGCTTAAAATTGAAAATCTTCAGTGCATTGAAGATAAAATTTGTATTTGTTTTCATGGAAGTCCACTTACAATCTGGCTGTAATCTACTTTGCCAGTCTAAACCCTCATCTTCCCTCCTTAAGTCTGTGCCACACCCCAATAGCACATTGGTCGGTTAGACAACTATTTGACTTTATATCTCTCTGTTTTCCCTCTTCTATCACTTTTGACTTAAATGCCCTTTCTTACTTCTCTGATAAAATCCAACTCAGGCTTCAAGACCCTCATATATAATCTCTGTAATGCTTTTCTTGACACTTAAACAAAAGAAGTAATGACTCTATATTTCTTTGCAATTCACATTTATCACTGTTACAGAAGTAGTTACAAATATGGAAAGAAGAATGGCTAGAATAAACTGAGTGTTGGATTGGAATAGGGAAGTACATAAAGAACTCATGGTTTTTCCTCTGACTGAGAAGAGCTAGAAGCTATGACACTGCAGCAGTAATGTATATACTCGGCATCTAGATTTTCATTTCAAAATATAATTCTCCACTAAAAGGAGCGAAGACTGCCTGGAGTAGACACATTCCAGGCTTGAACAGAGAAAAGACAAGATGAGTCTGGAAGTTATGATCATATGAAAAAGTAAAAATGTATTCAAAGTATGTTGAGAACATAGCAGAAGGACATAGAACCCAGTTTAAGATTTCCTCACAGGCCAAATCTGGGACAAACTGAGCATCAAAATAAATATAATAACACAATGTAACTCATTAAACAAAATAAGAATCCATGGGTCCATATTGATATCAATCAATCATTCCTGGAGAAGAGAAACCTTCATCCCCACCCTCCCTCCCTTTTTCACCCAGGCAAAAATGCATGTAAACTTATGATATGATCATAGCTCACTGCAGCTGCCAACTCCTGGGCTCAAGCAATCCTTCCACTTCAGCCTCCCAAATAGTTAGAACTACAGACAGACACCATCATGGCCAGGTAATTTTTATTTGTTTATTTTATTTTATTTCATTTTTTGACAGAGACAAGGTTTCACTATATTTCTGAGGCTGGTCTCAAATTCTTGGCCACAAGTGATCCTCCTTCCTTGGCCTCCCAAAGTGGTGGGATTACAAGAACAAGCCACTGAGCCCAACTGAAAAAGCTCTTTCTTACAGTAGCATGGCAACTAATAATTGTGGAAAAAAAAATATAGTTAGAAAGTTATCATTTGGCAACCATCAGAGCAATAATTGATCAGACAAAAAATTACTAATATATACCCAAATTAGTGTGTGAAAGTTTAATGAGAACAAGGACTTTACACAGTCTCAAAGTGTTTTCCATACATTAATTATTAATGTCAAAAGGAAAAATAGTGACTTTACCATGTAAAATCCTGACAACATCTTAATTAAGTACTGGGTAATGAAACAGATCAACATCCTCTTCTTCTTGACATGATGGGACAGACCAATGTCATGTTCCTCTTGATGTGATGTCCTATGGTGGATACTGCATCAATTCCATAGAAAGCATAACCTTAATCAGGTTATGAAGAAACATCAGACAAAGCCAAACTGAAGGACACTGAACAAAATGAATGGTGCTTTTGAAAAACATCAAGGCTATGAATGACAAAGTAAGTCTAAGGAACAGTTCTAGGCTAAAGGGGACAAACAGGTATGACAAGTAGGTGTAGCATATACTTCTCAACTCAATCCTGGTTTGGGGAATAAGTTTGTAACTTATTGAACATATTGGACAGCTCAGAATGTTTGAATATAGACTTTAGATTATACAGTAATATTACATCAATATTAAGTTTTCTAATTTTGACAATATTGAGGTTATATAAGTAGATGTTACTGTCTCAGGAAGTATACAATTAAGTATTTAGGAGTAACAGACCATGTTTAAAATTTACTTGTCAATGGTTTATATTTTTAAAATGCATAGCTATAAAGTAAATGATAAAGGAAATGAGTAAGCTTTAAGTAACTGGTGACACTTGGAAAAGGCTATTTGGGAGTTTTAAATATTGTATCAGAATAAAAAGTACTAAAATAAAAACTTTGAAAGCCAAAGACAATCTTTTGTTTATTTACTTTTTATTTTTTAACTCTTCTTAGTTGGGATGTAAGTTTCATAAGGGGAAGGATCTTTTCTTCCTTTCTAATTGCTGTATCCTCAGCACCCTAACAATGTCAATATAAAGGACATCAATAAATATCTGTTGAATGAATAAAGGCAAAAAACATGAAGAAAAATAACAATGGAACAGACTTGCATGCCTCTACTTTTGCTCTTTCTTGAAACCCCCCTAAATATTCAGCAAAATGCTTTTTTTTATAAAAGGGGAAGAGTCTGCAAGGAAAATAAGAAAAGAGAAGACAAACACTACCCACCCCTAACCCTCCTTGTTCCTCCAGAAGTTACCTTTTTGGAAGAATGCTGGCAAACTTTTCCCTGGGAAACCTGATCAACCAGTGAAAACAATTAAATAAATTATATTTGGATTCCCCTAGTAAATGTCTTAGTCAGTTTACTTATGGTCCATTTTTACCATATGGTAAAGCTTAAGTTGAAAAGCATCACCCAAGTGTGATGTGTTATTAATCAGCCTTTCATCTCACTTTTAAATATAAGCAAATATCTAAAGATTACCACATATCAAGAAAATCCTCAAATCCTTAAAGATGAAAGGTAAAGACACAAACACAGAAAAGCAACTTGGAAGAAACAAGACTAATATACAGTAAAGAAATTTGTATAAAGAAAAAGAGACTTCTTGCATTTTAACAAAATGAGAAAAGCAATGAAAAATACACTAGAAGAGTTGGAGGATAAATTTGAGAGAATATACTAAGAAGTAGAGAAAAAGAGACAAAGAGATGAGAAAATGTAGAAAAATTGGAAGACCGCTCTATACGGTCCAATATTTGAACAATAGGTGTTGCCCCCCCCCCCCAAAAAAAAAGGGAAAGAAAATCATCCACAAAACAACTCAAGAATATTTCCAGAATGGAAGGACATAAATTTGCAGATGTAAAAGGTCATCACACTTCCAGCAAAGTCAATGGAAAAAGAATCCAAACCAAAGTACTTTTAGTGAAATTTCAAACCTCTAAGCTTTGGGACAAGAACATAAAAAAGAATCAGTAGTTAGAATGGCTTTTGCCTTCTGCCAAGCAATACTAGAAGGTAAAAAGCTATGAAGAAATGTCTTTAAAATACCAAAGGAGAATGATTTCAATCTAGAATTTTATACACAGTCAAATAATCAGTTGTGAGGGTAGAATAGGGACATATTTTGAATGTGCAAAATTTCAAAACATTTATCCCTTTGCAAAATTTTTAGGAAACTCTTGGAGAATATCCTTTACCACAATGAAAGATTAGGAAAAAGGAAGTTATGAGACACAGGAAACAAAGTCCACCAGAGGTAAGAGAGAAATGGAATCCTTAGGAAGACGGCAAGGAGACATCCCAGAATGAAAACTGGATATCAGGCACAAAGGTGAACTAGTCCAGCTGAAGCATGCCAGAGCCTTCAAAAGGGATGTTAAAAAGATGAAACTGATGGCTTACTTGGTATGAATGAACATATTAAGAGGTAATTAAAATGACCTGAAGAAAGTTTGGGTCGAATTTCTGGTAAGAAAACTCTGCAAAGGAGAAAACAAGGTGATGATAATTCCAGAGAAAACAAAAAGTTGCCAGAAAAGTAACTGTAGTCACAGTTTCCTACATGACTCAGCTCTGAATAACATATTTAGTCATAATAATAGAACCACTTAATATTGATCTAACCATATTTGAAAGATGGGAGGAGGGTGGATAGGGAAGAAGCAAGAGAAAAATAAGTTTTCATTTTTTATAATGGAAAATCAATATATAATATTTGTATCCATCATGATTCAGTCAGGGGAAAAGAGTCACTGGATGTTATAAATAATGGACTTATGATAGGAATGAGATCTTACAGCTGAGGAAGTAAAGTTCTGAAAGGGGAACGGGAGGAGCAGAGGAGCCACTAACATGTCTGAGAAGCCAAACATCCCCAGCCACCAGAGTGTGATGGTGACAGAGAAATTTGTGGAGAGTTTTATGGAAAGGTATTGACTCTATAACTAGCCATCTAGTGGTGGGCCTGGCATCTCTGTAGGTCCCCAGGGCCATTAGTCAGAAAGAAGAGCTGAATATCATGCAGAGGAGAATGAGTTTCAAGCTGCTACCGACTAGAAGTCTGCTGTGTCTCTCATTGCCTCTCACAGTGAAATGACTTTCTGAAAGTCTTAACTACTGTTTTATTTGTGCACCTCTACCCCCACCAAATTTTATACAATTCCTCTTTTATGCAACTCTGACACAAAATCGTCACACAGCAGGAGCTTTAGGAAATATAGGTCCCAACTGACCCCGAGGGACACACTACAAATCACAACAGTCCATCCCTTGACAATCTGGCATCCAACCCATGCCTCTTTCAACCACATTAATCCCCAAATTTGTGCTTCCACATAACATGGCACACTTATCTACACAAAAACATACTGACTTTCTTCCCAAAAGGGGATATACAAAGTTCCATATGCCCATTTATTTATCCTAGGGTATTATTCATTCTTTTATCTGAGTCACACTCGCTACTTCATATTCTGTAGTTTAAATACTGAGCTATAAAGGTTAACTACAGTTAATACATCATCTTCTTTTAGATAATAGAGGAATATGAGATGAAAAATATTGATATTCATTTTAAATCAAGGAGGAAATAATTATAACTATGGTCTGTGTTTTACAACTAGTCATATGACTGTAGCTAGTATTTATTTATTTAGAGACAGACTCTCATTTTGTTGCCCAGGCTGGAGTACAGTGGTGTGATCTTGGCTCACTGCAAACTCCGCCCCTGGGTTCAAGCTATTCTCCGGCCTCAGCCTTCTAAGTATCTGGGACTACAGGCACATACCACCACATCTGGCTAATTTTTGTATTTTTAGTAGGGACTAGGTTTCACTCTGTTGGCCAGGCTGGTGTCAAACTCATGACCTCAGGTGATCCACCCACCTCAGCCTCCCAAAGTGCTAGGATTATAGGCATGAGCCACCGCACCCAGCCTGTAGCTGGTATTTATAACTTATTTTTTCTCTTGGACTGAAATAGGTAGGCAGTTTACTAAGGCCTTTCTTGATTTGTATAGCAGAAAACTTCCTTTCTGGCTAGCAGAGGTATAACTTGAGTCACTACAACAGAGAACCACAGCAACTTAACCAGTTCCAGACTTGAGCCAGTTCATAGCCCCAGAGCTCCTTGAATGAAGATGTCAAATCTCTGGAACCAGCATCCTCACTGTAAATCTTTTTTCTGGTCTTCTGCAATAAGACCTAGGGCCATTTACTTAGATGACTGTGTTTCTGGGAAAGGGAACTAAATGGACTTTTGATTACTAGAGTATTGGCTTGAGCCTATGCCCTAGTGGGCTTCGTTAATCCCTAAACCTACCCCATGTTTATTTCTTCACTTCTGGAATGAATAGTTAGTATAGACATGCTCAGGAACTAGAATAATTCCTACATTGGATCTCTGACCTGTGTATATATTTTTTCTTTTATCTGTAACAAATATTTTCCACACTATTGCAAGGCTAAAAGGGCTTCTAGAGATGCACGTGACACTGCAAAGTAGCAAAGTAAAATACGTTGCAAATAGCTGAGGGAAATGTGGGAAAGGGAAGATAAGGCTAGAAACAAAATGAAGCAAGAAATGAAACTAGTACATAAAATGTGTGACATAAACTTTTGGACATCTGCTGAGGGTGGCTGACAAATTTGTTCTTGAGCAGTAACACAATTCATTACAACTATAAGTTAAAGACAAATGAAGTGCTTAGGAGAGGCATACCTATTTTGAATACTAGTACAGAAAAAAATTCAGAGGAGGATATTTCCTGCCTTTAGGAATTACCTGTTCTATTGTTTATTGCAATTAGCATAGCTAGCTGACTGTCTACGAACACAGTAACAGCAGACATTCTATTCATTTAATGAACACTCAGCCTAATTCTTTTTTCTTTTATTGCATTTTTAGTTTTGGGGTACATGTGAAGAACATGCAAGATTGTTGTATAAGTACATGCAGGGCAGTGTGATTTGCTGCCTTCCTCCCCTTCACCTATATCTGGCATTTCTCCCCATGCTATCTCTCCCCGCCTCCCCATCCCCTCCGTCCCTCCCTCATTTCGCCCCAAGAGACCCCAGTGTGTAGTGCTCCCCTCCCTGTGTCCATGTGTTCTCATTGTTCAACACCCGCCTATGAAACTCAGCCTAATTCTTAAGAAAGTGTGAATTTCTGTGTATCTCTTGTTAATTGGGTGGAGTAACGCTTCATTCTAGCACCACAGAGAATGAAAATGACACATATTACTTTAGTTTAAAAGAGTTCCGGGCACACAAAATTAAATAAGGGAAATAATTTGGAAACTTCGGGTCAAATCTTGAGTTTTCTCTTTTGAGCTGGCCTGTGTTGGACTTCCTTTGAAGTCAACAAAACTCCTGGATTTCTTCCATGGGGATAAAGCACAAAATGAGAAATAGGCCTTATCACATCAGTCTACAGACGAGTTCTCAAGTGGCAGAAAACAGTATTAACATTTGGAGGAGTCAAATATTTACACATTTTTAAAATGTTAAATAAGTGATTATGATGTGGCTTTTTAAAACAACAAATTAGCCTAGATAAGGACTGGTCAGCGACCTTGTTGAAGACCTTTCATATTAATATAATTACTTCATACAAAATATAACAAATGAACATAGGCTATCACATGCAACTAGCAAAACAGTCTGCTTATATTTAACAGGAAAAAAAAGCTATCAATAGTAACACAATGGCAAAAATGCCATATTTTGTTCCAAAGCAATTAAAGGATAAATTCTAGACTGGAAGAGTACATACAACGTCCACAAATATCAACAATGAATAAAAAGATTGTGAGAAATTTCACATCTGAGAATGAATATCAGATAACATAAAAGAGAACTCTAAATTAATTAGCTAATGAAAACTAGAATCAGTGCCAGAGTCAACCAAGTCTGTGAGCATAAATGCTCAAGAAAGATTCAGAAGACTTTATTCTACTGTAGCCCACATTGTACTGTCATAAAATTACTAACATCCTATGGTTGTTAACATTGAAAAAATAATATATTAGAAAATTCCTAAATTAAAATCTAAAAAGAATGGCATGAAGAAGAGCTTTTTCAAGTATAATGCAGAGAAGTTATAAAAGATAAGATTGGCAAACTGCACAACATAAAAGTATTTAAAATTTTTCTACATACTAATATACATCAAAAACAAAGTCAAAAGACGAATGAGAAACTTGGAAAAATATTTACAACTCAAATCACATAAGACAACATATATCAATATATGCAAAGTCTACAAATAAAAACAAATGACCAAGAACACAATAGAAAAAGAGGCAAATTATATCTCCAGAGAGTTCATGGAAAAGAAAATACAAACGGATGGAGCATACTAAAGACATACAAAATTTCATTTAAAAGAAAGGAAATACAAATTAAAACTTTACTGAGATACCACTTTTTGCCTACAAGTGTCAAACGTCAAAAGGGGTTAGCCAGTATCTAGAGATAGACATTTTTACACAGTGGAATATGAAAGAAACTTTGTGGAAGTCAATTTGAAGAACACACACACATATATCTAACTGTTTGATTCAACTTTTCTACTTCTAAAAATTTATAATGCAAAGGTTAAATGACACATGAAAAAGTTAATTGAAGCATTGCTTACAATAGATAAAGAATGAAAACAATCTAAATGTCTGTTGGCAGGGAGGCTGGCTAAATACAGCCATACAATGAAATAATATGTGACTGTATAAAAATAACAGGATAGTTCTCTATGAACTGATACCATGAAGATCTAAATAACATTAAAAAAATCAAGGTACAGATTAGTGAACACGGTATTCTACTAGTTGCATAAAAGAGAGAAGGAAGAATATTATACCTATGTACATGCACATATATAGGCATACATATAACATGTGCATATGTTTACACACACACACACACACACACACACACACATATATTCTTCCTTCTCTCCTTGCTTGATAAGCAAAAAGATTATCAAGTTACTTGCTTGATTAGTGCAAAACATCTCCTGAAGTATACCAAAAACCTGAGTTTGTGCAAGAATAACTGATTGGCTCTAAGGAGAACTGGATGCCTGAGAGAAGGAGATAGGAGAGACTTTGCCCTGTTATACTCATTTGTAAGGATTGAATTTTGAGCTGTACGAATGAATTACAAGTCAAAAAATAAAATACAAAAGTTGTCTCCCATCTATAATATCATCCCCCACTTCTGCCCTCAGTTAATTTTCCCTGTCACTAGTGAGTGGTATAGAGTCAGCCTCCTTAGTATCCTTCTCTGTAAACAAACCCCAGGAGCAAGTCTATTTACAAAGCCAGTTTAATAAAACCACTATATAAACTCAGTTTGAAGAAAAAGTCCATTGAATCTCTAAGATGAAGAAACTGTGAGCTGTGAGCCTCAACAACACCACATTCAGAGTTTAGAAATGAAAGGAAGCAGAGATATGGGATTAAAGTTAATGATAGTCTAGGAGCCGCTAGGGTTTTATTTTTTAGTAGCCAGAACATTCCTGGGATCTTGAAGTCAGGAAAAATATTCAGTGAATGTAAAAAAAAAAAAAAAAGCCTGCATTATCAACAAATTAGCCCCAAAGTGATTAAGTATGAGACTCCAAGTACCCAAGAACTAAGTGTGACAAAGTTTTAAGGTTCACTGGTGTCCTTTAAGAGGCAGGGAGAGACCAGGAGGGAGCATAAGAAGGAATTGGGAATTTTCTTTTCTTCCAGAGCCTATTCTTTTCTTACTAAACACATTAACCATTTTTTCCACAGAAGTGGTGCTGTCAAAACTCTTCTTCATGAACTAAATCTGGGGGTTCACTAAATTGAAAAGCATCTCTGGCTAAAAATGCACCAACTGTGCAACACAAAGGATTAAAATTATGGGAAGTTATCTTTGAAGGAATAAAGGTTGAAAGTGATCTGTAAATTTAACTAAGGACAACAATGGCTAACCCTCTTCTTTCTACACAAAAAACCCCTCACTGATGAGTTTGCCCTCACACTGGTTAGATACCATAGCAAACTTCCTAATAAAAATAGAAAATTGATTGTATATCAGAACATGTTAGAGGTGAAAGAGACCTTGGGTGGATTTCCTAAAAATACTGCCAAGGAAACTGAGACCCAGAAAATTGCCCAAAGTTTCCCAGGTGATTAATGGTAGAGCTATATCTGCTTGGCCTTGTGTTTATTTTTGCCTTTAAGTATTTTAAAGGACACTGATTACCATTGATCTTGAATGGATCTCAAAGCTTTGTAAGAAGGCAGGGAGGCTTATCTAGGGAATACTTCTTTGTTTTCCCCATAGATTTAACTCCTTTATAAGCACAATTCATTTGTTGTGTGCATATATGACTGTATTTGGAAAGAAGTAATATTTATGGTAAAGTGGTATTCAGCATCCTATCAAGATGATCAAGGAGTATCAAGTTGTGCCAAGCACTGAGCCACTCCCTACACTGAAATGTTTCTAATTGCTTCCAAATTCTGTGATAAAAATCAAGGACTCAAAAGCCAAGAAACAGATCCACTGTTTCTGAAATGTGTTTTTTCAACTCTATTTGTGCCCTGTGGGTCAGTCTCAGGGCTGGTTTTCTTATCCATGAAATGGGACTAGTGACCTCAACTCAGATTTACTTGGGTGTTCTCAGGCATGCATAAAAGATATAATGCTGAAATTCTTACCACATAAATGCTGCTATTTAATAGTGAGTCTGTAAAATAGTTATGAACAGGCAATAATAAAAGAGTTAATAAACGTAAGTATTGCAATATTCTTATTTTTATATGATTGTCTTTTAAATCATCCAATTTCTGAACATCTTCTGAAACTGAAGGAATAGAAAAGGGAATTTAAATAGTATAAAATGCTATTATAATATGGTAACTGGGCATATTTATAGACATTCATACTGCCACAGTTAGGAATAATACATTTTGCTTAAGGAATAATACATTTTTCCTACAGTAGTGAATGCGGACAGATTCCACTAGAATGCAATTGGATGGCATCAAGTCTATTTAATGCAACACTTCGTTAAACAGAATATTTTCCCCAAACCCAAAGCACCTAAAAGTTTAATTCAAAAGACTCTGGAAATCGGAGGAGGAGAGAGGGGAATTAAGAATGAAAAGTACCTTAGTGGGAAGTGAACTTTTAAAAATTATTTTTAAAGAATCAAGGGCCCAACTTCTTGAGTACTTCAGACAACAGATCACGAGTTTTTGTTAGTTTTGTTGGAGGAGAAACAAAGTAAAAACTAACAGTTCTGAGAATAAGCAAAAGATATTGGGAATACCCGTCTCCTCAAACTGAGGCGCGTTTTATGAATAATTTCAGCCGGCTAACATACCTTCCTGCAAAATATAGCCAAGATGTAAATTAAAAAGTGGCAGAGGTGTGGCATGTTGCAAAAGTTTAAACTCTGCTTATGAGAGGCCGCAGTCCCAGCTGGGAGCTCCGGAAGGGAGTCATCAGGCCTTCAGTCAGATCCCCCTGCAGGAAGGTTGCCGCTGAGGTTGGAACTGACCCTACAGCGCTGGAGAGGACGCCTTGGGAGTGAACGGCGGGGTTCTGGGACCCAGCAAGGTCAGGGGCATCTCCATCTCAGCTACTCTCCTGCGCTTTGGAAAGGCCGAAGAGGATTTGCCCAAAGTTAGGCGTGCTGTTGGCTGTCAACGTTCTTTAGGACCTCAGGGAAACCCGGGCGTTTCTGGCTTTAGGACCCAGGAACGCCGAGGCAGCCTAGACTTGGATGCCTTGGACCACAGCACCACCTACTTATAGAAGCATCCCGAGCCTCTGCCCGTCTGCATCTCTATCGGAAAGTGCGCTCGCCACATCCTTTCGGATCACTTCGTCTTCCCGGGACTGTTCTGCGCTCTATAGCTCGGGAAGAAAGAAACCTTAGCTGTGAAGTGACCGTGGAGAAAGCGCAGGAAGCGGCATAATTGGCTAGGGGCGCAGAGAGTGAGAGCCGGCGCACCCCTCGGCCGGGGACCGCACTCGCGGGCGGGGACGGAGCATCCCAGTGGCTGCACCCGCAGCTCCGCGCTCCTGCCCGTGGCCGCTCAAATCCCTTAGCTGCCAGGCGCTCCCGGCGGGTCTCGGCAAACTTTTCCCCAGCCCACGTGCTAACCGAGCGGCTCGCTTCCCGAGCCCAGGATGGAGCGCCGCGCCTAGGGAGGCCGCGCCGCCCGAGACGTGCGCACGGTAGGCGACCCACACGAAGGCAGCCGCAGCCGCGGCGCTCGGGTACCCAGCCGTGGGCTCCAAATGGCCCAAGAGCGTTCTTTTATCCCTGCGCTCTCAGTGCCTTTGGAGCTCTTTCCCCGGAGCGCCAGTACAACGCCCTATGCCCCCGAGTCGGAGCTTAGGGCTCGGCAGAGGTTGCTAATTCACTGATTGTAATCACCTTCCTCTCGAATTCATCCACAGCTGCAAGCTCTGGATTAAGCTGCTCTGCGGCTCGTGCCAGGCACTGGGTTCGCTTCCTCCTTCCCTATCTTCCTTAAATTGGGACGCGCGAAGGCGCAGCTGCCTCCCCGGGGCTCTCTCCATCCCCCACCCACTCTGTTTTCGCTCCTCGTCTCTCAGGTTCGTGGCGGAGAGATGCTGATCGCGCCGAACTGACCGGTGCGGCCCGGGTGTGTGTGAGTGAGGAATCTCCCTGAGTCCTCCCCAGCGGCGCGGCCGGTACCGGCTCCGTCCGTGAGCCCTTCAGTTCCCTGACTTTGAGAGGCGTCTCTCCCCCGCCCAACAGTCCAGATGCGGTTTCGCCTTTTCTCCTTTGCTCTCATCATTCTGAACTGTATGGATTACAGTCACTGCCAAGGCAACCGATGGAGACGCAGTAAGCGAGGTGGGTTCCTCTCTGCCAAAGGTGCGTGGGCTTCAGGGGTGGGGTGTGGCGGCGCTCCCTTAACGCCCTGGCTCCTGGGGCTCAGATGGGCAGGACTGTGGTTTCCACCCCAGCTTTGCCGGTCCCCACTCCCCCATCTTTAGGGCCCTGGAGTTCTACAGAGCACTCAGTGTTTTCTGTCCCCTGGAGGCGCGGGGAGCTCCGCGAGCCGGGCGCCACTCGGGCGCTCATGGCAAAGTCTTGCGGTCCGCACTTTGCTACCGCACCTTCTCACCTGAACTTGCCTCTTTGGGATGTATTTCTTATCTGCCATACATTTTGTTTTGTTGTTGCTCTTCTCTCTCCTTAACCATCTTCCCTGTAGCTCATTTGTTTTACCTTCCCCACCCACGTGCGCCCCAAACCCGATCTCATATCTCTTTGGACTTCGCTAAAGAGACGTGGGGTGTGTGGGTGTTCGTGCGCGTGTGTCTGTGTCTGTACTCCGGAGCTTGGGAGGGGTACCAAGTCGAAGGGGAGGACCTCCATTTCCAGAAAAAAGGCCAACATAGACCTCTTTTCTGGAACCTGAGAGGAGATGGGAACTTTCTGAATTGAGCAGTAATTCCCGCGCTGGTTTTCTGGGGAGTGCTCGCCTCCAGAGGTTCGTTTTTAAAACAAGCCCCGCTTTGCTCTCTTCATTTGCTTTGCAAAAGCAGCTACAGCGGTGGAGGTTTCCGTTCTCAATGAAATTCACTTGCTGCTTTTTAACTACTCCCTCCCTCTCCATCACTATTGCGTTAAGGGGAAAGAGGTGGAAGCCTCCAGAAAGGTTTCTGGGAACTCGCTTTCCTGCAGATTTAGTGTGCATTTCTGTCTCCGAGTCCGCTGGGGCTGCAACCAATCCAATTGCATTTTAGGAGAAGGGCGGCTAGACACGATTCCATTTTCTTGGGGGATTTAAACATAAACCACTCACCACACACACATTTTATTACCCGCCCAGGGAAGGTGCGCAGCAGCCCTTTGCCAGGGACCTGATGAGAGCTATTTTCTTCGGTCAGTTTGTACTTTTGCGCAATTAGAATTTGTCGCCGAGTTCATCAACCTTGACTTTTCCTTCTTCTCCAAGATGTAGACGTATCACTCGACCTGTGATGTGATTACATACTCTTTGTATTTAATCTCCGATCCTGCATCCATATTTTGGGGAGGACTTTCCGAACTATATATATAGGCTTTTTAGGACATCGTTAAACTGGTCTCACCTAGGGGTAGAGATAGAGATTGGCCCACCTGGGTGCAGAGCTCCAGATAACTGATGGTGTGCGACTTCTGTAGTCGCTGCGCTTCAATTGTCTCTGTGTCTACGGCTTGTCTCTCTATCTGCGGCTTGTAAGGATAAACTTTCTCCCACTTCTCTCCCTCCCTCTCCCTCGGTTACTGGCTTTTGGAAATTGTTTATTTTTAGAAATTATTCTACTTAAAAATACTAGAGAGAAATTTCTTCCCAAAGTTTTTGGGAGTTTGCTTTTCATAATTGTCTTGAAAAAGTCCGTTTTCATCTCCTCTCTCTTCCCCTCCCACCTGATTCTTTTTCCTAATCCCCATATTTTCTTTGAGTATTCGGCAAAGCCTGCAATTTTTGATTACACTATGGTCAAAAGTGTTTGGAGAGGCTTTTCCTCTTCTTATAAGTCAAAGCTGCAGTCTACTTAGAAAAACTAAAGTGCTTGAAGTCTGCAAAATATAGAAATATCTAAAATCCTTTGCCAGATTCTTAATTAGATGACTTACTAATTCAATGAAGCTTTCTGATCCACACTGCCTGTCCCATTGTGGTTGAGTGGGGAAGAACTAAGCATATTGTTTTAGTAGAACTTAAATGCAGAGATGCTGTTTGGTGGAAAATGACATTACAGCACTCCTGCGGCCAGAAGGGATACTGCATGCCTTCTCTGCAGTGCCATCTCTAAGAATCTGCGTATGCCTTCTTAGGTATCTGAACCAGAGCCTATTTATTTCGAAGGATGCTTTTAGCAAAATCTCTTGTAACGATTACCATCCACATCCCCAAACGCTGACATTCCAGCTCTAAATTGTGCAATAGTAATTTATCCCAAATCAACCTTTCGATTTAATAAAATTCAAATGCTTTCAAGAGCATGTAAATTGGTAAGGGTGTTAAAAAAAATCTATCAAAAGATTTTTCTTCTCAACAGATGTGCCTTCACAAATTCCAAGTTTCTGGCTAAAATAACTGCAGTCCTTAAAAGTGACCACACTATCTGTACCAACAAAGGGTGTACTGTGTTTTTAATTAAAAGTGGAACTACTTAAAGGGCTGGCCAGACAGTGTAGGGTGTAGGGTGATAGTAGCTTTTCTACTTTGCAAGGAAGCTTAAGGATTGCATTGTTAGAGTATTGAAATGAATAGAGATCTAACTCAAGTTGTGTGAATTGTCCCTCTTCTCAAACTTAAGCTGGTTTTAATTGATCTCATGTCCACTGATTGATCCTACACCAATTGTTGTGCCTACCAAACAATGGGCTTTCTCCAAAAGATTGCTTTCAATTAGTTCCTCAGTGAATGCTTGACTACTGGCCAAATCATGTCAACAGTGACAGGTGACATGCTAGGGCCTATGTGGTACCAACATTTCCCTTTGCCCCTTTGTTTTGGATAGTGGCAGTTAAATATTATTTTCCAGGAAGAAAAGTAATTGGTATTTTTTTAAAAAGGTGTTGTAGCTTAGAAAATTAGCTATTTTCTTGGCTTTGTGCTACAGTGTAGGTGGCAGTGGTACCACAGGATTGGTTAGGCTTACCCCTGGGACCTGATTCTTTTTCTTTCTTTTTTTTTTTTTTTCCATATTCCATCTGCAAATAATCAAACCTTCACTGTGGAGCATTCTCAGAACCCCTTTGGCATTATGTTTAGTCTGCGCTATGATCTCAGATGCTCCATAATATCATTTTTCTTAATGAAATAAAATTCTTGGCAGAGATCAGATAATTTAGTCAGTTAAAATCAATTGCATCCAGTTTGGGATGGAGAGCAAATATATCATTTAACTGTATATTTTATTTCAAAATATAGCCAGAGATTGAGAAAATAGGATTTTGACTCTCTCTACTTTTAGACAAAACTTCATATGGGGGAGATTGTCACGAGCAATAACACTACCCAGCTACCATATTGTCTTCCCCTTATTTTGAAAAGTTATAAAAATGTATTTGATAGTCATTAGTGGGAAATGTTGCAATAATTTTAAAAAATTAGATACAAATGCAATACAATACTGAGAATGAATATCTTTTAGAGGGGAGATACTTTCCAACATTCTGAAAAGCTGATTGACAACTCTCATTTTTCTCTCCATGTAACATATTAAGATTTGTCTTTCTGACTCCCCTTCAAAATAGTCATGATTAGCTGTCGTTAACCCCTACTATCTGTCTCGGTCTTGAGACTGCTTATGATTGATTTACATAGGAAGTGGAATTATTTGATTACTTTCATTTTTTGGAGTGGTTGTAAGCCACATTTCAGGCTGAATTACTGAAAGGTGGGTAGACAAATCATAACTTTATTGTGGTCTCCTGGAATTTCTGGAGCTTGGTATATAATGACTTAATCTTATATCTCCTTCATTCTGTTTTTATATCCTATGGTATTTTAACCAGGGATTTATGAAAACTTCTTGATAAAACTCTCAACGCAGCAAGGTTTCCAAATGTACAATTCATGTTTCTGGTGGTCTGATGGCAGGGGGCGTGCTGTGACAAGGGTTTCCTGCTATAGCCTTTTCCATACTGAAGCCTCAGCTTCTCTTTCCTCTAATAACTCTTCATTTTCACAAAATTAGATTTAGTTTCTTCCATAAAAATGAAGGGTTTGTCACAAATAGTGTGGTATGTTTCTGGTAACAGAGGCTGGAAAAAAACATTTTCTCTTAAACCTTATAGAGATAAATTAATTTGTGTTTGAGTTCTTAAAACTTTAATGAAGAGATTCAAAGATTTTTTTTTTATACAAGTACTTTTTAAAGAATAGTTTATTTTTCCTGATAATATTTTAAAATACAAAATGACAGATAGGACATACTCGCCTACAGTTCAATGAAAACCTTTCACAACACATTTTGCATGCTTGCTTACTTTAAGTTCCAAAGCATTTGAGAAAAGCTGATGTGATATTTAACTTTGCAACATAAACATGTTCTTTCTTTTCTTTTCTCTTTTTTGATTGGCTGCTTTCTTTTCCAGCGTAACTGCATAATTTTTTAAGCTAGGGTCTTACCAGTACAGAGAGGTCAGAAAGTTGCTGTGTTCAAACTAACATCGTATTTTGCCACAGAAATTTGGAAGTGATTCAGAATAGGTGACATTCCCTTAGGCCCCAGCTTTATTTGCTTTTAAAATACAGCTTGGGTAGAATCCAGTATTCACAGAAATCACAAATTGGAAATGACACTTCTAGTTCCTTAATGCAAAACCACCTTTGATTTATTTAGAGACAAACTGGCCAGATTGTGGAATATCCTGGGTACTTCTTTCCTTCCAACTGACTGCTTTTAAACCATTTCCTTCCTTCTGGAGATATGCATCCTTATTCATCCCAAGCCCAGGAAATAGGTGACAGACAGATTTTATTTGACATATGCTTGATAACTGCTCTGCTAAAAGGAGGTAATAAACTTTGGGATGATAAAGTTTGAAAATTTCTATATTTAAGGTGGCATGAAGCTTATTATTTTCTCCATTAACTGCAGCCATCAAGGGCTGATCAGCTGAAGACAGTGTTGCATATCTATATTTACACATTTTCATAAGTTCATCCAGAATAAATGAAAACATGGTAATTAATATTAACATATATACATAATGTATATTGTATATACGAGGGAAGGTATATATGCATACATGTATATGTGGGGGGGTGGGTGGGTATGTGTAGGGAAAGCAACGAGAGGATGGTATAATTATGGAGGATCAGGATTTCAGAACTAAGATTTTTCACTCATTTTTTTCTAGTCCTC